TTAGACCCGCCACCTTCCTCACCCTTCCCATTGTCTCTCTCCTCTCCCCCTCCTATGACTGTGCCTACTACTGTACCTGTTATTAATACCTGGGTGGCCTACTCTTGAAGTTTTTTTTGGCCACAAACCTGTAAGGCACATTGATGGAGCCTAGTACTGTTGTCTCTTACTTGTTTCTTGGCTCCTACGAGAGCATGTCCTTTTTTTGTCAATTTCTTGTAACATTTGATAAAAATGAAATAAAGATTGCATAAAACAATAAACCCAAAACATGGGGGGATTCATAAAAACTGGAGCAGTTGTCCATAGTAACCATTCATTTTCTATCTTTCATTTTGAAAGCTTAACTGAACAAACTGAAGATAGAAGCTGATTGGTTGCCATGCACAACTGCTCCAGTTTTGATAAATTCCTATCTATATATTTTCTGAAAGCAGCGGGCTCAGAGAATGAAATAGTGGTAGTTTCAATTTTTTTATGCTGCACAATATTAGTGCAACAGTTTATCAAATCTTTATTTTCAGTAAAAATACATTTAAATTAATTTTAGTGCCAAAAAAAAACTTTAAGACATTGGACTGAGTTGAGCAAACAGATACCAAAGATGTCAAGACTTAAAATTGTGCGCAGCTGTGAAATGGCAACAAACTACACTATCCAAACATTTCCATAGGCCACGCTTAGAAACCTATACAGCTAATCAGTTAACTATAAATAATGGTACTAGAATTACTCCTCTTACTGTGGCTTGTGTGATAATGCCTAATAAATATTGCTTAAAGAACAACTCCAGGCAAAGGTGTTCCTAACCCTTGCAGTTGGGCTAGCCATGCACTGCAAAGGTTAAGTGCTCGTTTTTGTCTAGGTGTTAAACAAAAAGTTATACTCACCTGAACCACTGAGCCGACTGCCTGCTACTCCGGCCCTTGAAGCCTGTCTTCTTCTATGCTCCAGCATTGGAATGTTCCTCAGTGTCCTCATGTCTATACACTATGTAGTGTATATAACATGATGATTTACGGACCTTAGACTGCTGCTGTGAAGGTGGCGGGAGGCTTCAGGAATCAGTCTAAGAACAAGCTGGCTTGAAGGATCGGGTGAGTATAACCTTTTCTTTTTTTACCTACACAAAAATTAGCAATTAACCCTTTCAGCGTGGGGGTAGCCCAACTTCAAGGGTTACTAAAAATTCTGCCTGGAGTTCTGAATTAATCATCACTGAATTAATCATCACTTACAAGGTAAGTATATGGATGGCGTGCACCCGCACAGACACCATGGGACAGGAAGTGCCAGCAAGGAGAGAGGAGTCAGCGCTGGATCGGAGACCCGCAGCAGCGCTGGAGAGAAGGCTGAAAACGACAGGAAAGAAAAAGATCGGATTAAGAGACATCATTTAAGGTAAGTGCTTTAATTAACATTGGAGGGGGGGGGAAGGGAAAAGTATCTTTGACTTTAATGTCACTTTAATGTCTCCCTAAAGAGGACCTGTCACTAAAACTCTATCACATAGAGGACCTCTCAGCTCACTGTAATAGTAATAAAGTTTAGCGGAAAAGAAAAAGTAATAAATCAAATTAAAAAAAAAAAAATTCAGATCCCCTTCATGCACATGCAAACACATATACGTGATGATTAATTCAGAACTGCCAAAATGAGCAGTTAACCCTTCCAATGTCAGGACAGCCCCACTGCCACACTGTAAGGGTTTATAAAAAAATTGCCCAGAGTTCTTTAAAGTGGACCTTTACCCACTGTGGCTAAACATCAAATCAGGGTTCAGCTCTGTGCCCAAGCATTGCATCCTGGGAAGGTTACATCAGCAGAGCATTTCTGGGAAATCGCATCTGTAATCTTATGAGATCTCAGGAAAAGGCATTTTCCTCCCCTAAGATGATGTGCATGGTCTGTGCCAGAGTTCGGTGCCAGAGTTCCAGGAAGTAAAGGGAGATGGACTCATCTGCCCTTTAGTAAAAATGGCCAGTTCAGGTGAAGGCCTCACTGTGCATGTTATGGTACAATGGACCTCAAGGGGACTGTTACAACTTGAACATACAGCAAACATGGTAGCCCCCTAAGTCTAATATAAACAATACTAAGCCTAACATGGTGGATATGTTTTGCAGAGCCTGATAGAGGAGAAAGATTAAATGTTTCTGAGTGTACCACAGCAGAAAACCACAATTGGACAAGAAATGTATTTATATGTACGTAGTGTAAGTACCAGGATTTGTCCTCACATCAGTCTTCTGGAATTCCCTGTATAACAACACTGCAAATAGACAAAAGGGAGAAGCACTAGGAGTCAGTCAGGCTCTTCAGGACAACACATGTGCTGGCAGTGGACATGTTGACAGGAGGAGAGAGCTGAGTTAGCAGAATAATTGTTAATCAGTGGGCTGCTGCTCCTTCACTAAATATCTAGTCTGCAGGCCGGTGGTGTGTTATGACCAAGCTTGTGTGACTATTGATAGTGGAGGCCAGAAATGGTTGTTTGGCCAGTATTAGTATTACTGTAGTATGCTTTCATATGATTTGCATTTTCATAAGTGTTCTTGTTAAAGGAGAACTGTGGGGTCAGTGTTTTTCCCCATAGTTCTCCTTAGGGTAACGGGAGGACACAAACTAACGTCCTCCCAGCACCCTAAGCTCAGTATAGAGCGGCGGTGTGGGGGGCTGAGACAGCTGTCACAGGAGGTTGGGCTGGCGGTGCAGGGGAGGAGTCACCTGTCAGAAGAGACCGAGCTCTCCTCCCCCCACCGCTTGCTCAGCCTCCTGTGACAGTGAGTCAGGATGGAGAGCGGGTACAAGCAGTCGGCAAAATCAGCTGATTGCTGAGTGTTTGTAAATAATTGAGGACATAGTATGTTTACTGTGCCCCCAATTATGAATGAATGGGAGTGATCTGCATCACTTCCCATTCATTCATGATTGTGGTTATAGTAAACACACTCTGTCCTCATGTTATGAATGAAGAGGAACACTCAGTATAGAGGATTCCTGTTCATTTATAACGGGGGCTGCAGAAAATGAGATTGAGCACTCTGGGGGGAATTGATCAAAATCTGGAGCAGCTTTGCATGGCAACTTATCAGCTTCTCTCTTCAGTTTGTTCAGTTAAGATTTGAAAATGAAAGAGAGAAGCTGATTGGTTGCCATGCACAGCTGCTCCAGAATCTGTCTGCTCCAGTTTTGATACATTTATTTAAAGCCATTAATTGTCAACTGTTTTCTGAGGTGTGAACTTGGCTTCCTTACCAGCCACTCTGAGACATATATTTATTCTGGAATGTCCTGTGGCATACATACCAGTGTCTCATCGTGTTTTATTTATTAGTTGGCTCCAACTTCAAACATTGCGTAAACATTCTTTGCCTGGTTGTAGCAACTTAAAATACATGTTCACCTTTGTAAAATAAAACAGCCTATCTTTGTGTCCCTCCTCCCTTTCCCCTTCAAGTCAGTACCTACATTGTTCAACAGCTAATTAACATTAACATCATTAACATCTAATAGACTTGAATGGGAAATACTAGTATTTCAGGAACAACATTGCAATTTAGGTCTGAGACATCAGTGCACAGCTGTGGATGGCCTGGGAGTAGATTTTCACCATCTGGGCTGCAAACAGTGCAGGTAGCCATTGGAGGAGTTATGTCTGGAGTCTGGACCTGTGTGGGGAAGGGGGTATGCTGTGTGTAATCGGGGGCGAGCTGAGCACATTTTTTTTTTTTTATAAAGGGTTTACTTTAAAATGTGGTGGTCAATTCAGGCTGCACGTGTGATGAAAACTGGCATAAGAATGGCAAATTAGTAGATATAAAGATATATGCAGCTGAAGTTTAGCTGGCCTCTATACTGGTACTTTAACATAACTAGAAGCATCATTGACCAATACAGATGGGTCAAGTACAACCTTACTTTTACAGCAAAAGTCATTTCTTTCCTATAACTTTAGCTGCCTAAGTCTCTGGATCTACTGTTTTGACTTGGGGTTTATTCTGAAGGCAACTTTTACTTTATGTATTTGAGGTTTGTGACAGGTTTACTTAAAGCAGCACTTAAGTCAAGTATTCACCATTAAGGGTATTGCTATGTTAAGACACTAGGATCACCCAATATTGTTTGTATTTTTATTTGTTTAAACACAATTATTTCACATTTATATATCCCTGAAAAAGGGATTACACTTTACCCATTGTAGGGATTTTAGCACGTTAATAGATGTGTAACACATAAAACACCTACAGCGCTGCACACTCATTATTTCATTGTCGTTAAAAACTATAGCGCAGCAGCTTTAACACTTAACCCTTCCATAAGCGCAGATTTCACATTTTTCACAAGTTCACCATTGCCTCTGTTGTAAAAGTGAGTTAAACACTGAGACACTTACCTGCCAGACACTCTTTCTGGGTGCCAACAGCCTCTGGTTTCGCTCTCCCTCTGCTTTTTTGCTGCAATTGTTTGTGTGACAGATGAACAGATTTGCTGCCTCTGCCTTACACAGATATTGTTGAAAAGATAGCATCTGGGGGTTAGACTAAAAGTCAATATTTAACCTGCAGTCTGGTTGAGGCTGGGTTCACACCTAGGCGTATCAAATATGCGCGATTCGTGGTAAAAAAAAAGTGCGCCAAATGCACGTTTCCGAGCGCTACTTGGCTGTATCTTAATGGAAACGCACGACAAAAACGCCCCAAAGAAGCTCCTGTACTTCTTTGGGCGTAGGACGTTTTGTAGCGCGTTCATACGGCCTGTAATACGCCCAGGTGTGAACCATACCCATAGGAAATAATGGGATTTCGGTGTTTGAGAGTTCTGCAGAGCGTAGGAACGCACTACAAAACGCCCAGGTGTGAACCGGGCCTTAGTTCTGGTAAAATCCCATCTAAAAGGTGCCCTTTTGCAAGTGTTTTTTGGTTAAATTAGTATTTGAGAATAGTATAACAGATTTTTGTATGTATTATGTTTGCTGACTAATGGATGTGTTTTTCTAGGAGATATTTTGTGGATCTGAAGACGTTAAAAGAGCATTTCAAAACTAAAGTCCACAAAAGAAGGTAAGAAAACTCTTGATATATTGAGTGTGAGTGTAATCTTCTTGCTTTTTGTCATAGAGATTAGCGTACATTGAAAAGTGACTGAAGTCTTTTAGTGCACATGACTTTGTTTTATAATGGAGAAGTCCAGTAAACTGGGATCATAAACTACAATACCTAAATTAGACAACTCCAGCCAAAACATATTTCATTTTGCACAGAGCTGGGAAGAGATAGATGCACTGTAAGGCACTTATTGATCTATGCTTGTTGGGAATTTTCTCCCCACTTCCTGCCAGGTCAAGATAGGAAGTGATGGGAAATCCATCCAATGGGAACACAGACAAAACATATTTTTAGAAGACTGAGCAGGATTAGAACTACTGGCAATGTTGTTACTGTATATGTTCACCTTTTCTGATGGCAACCGCCCAAACCCTTAACCCCCCCCAGTATATAGGCATCACTGGGACAGGAAGTGAAGGAAGCTCTTCCTATTGGGGGGTCACAGATGGAGGTAAAAATCTGACTGAACTCTTAATGCTTTCCTACATTACAGTAGGGTTGCAACCAACAAAACGATTATTCAATAATGAGAATAGTTATCAACTATTCTCATCAGTTAGTTGGTTGGATCCACTAGCTCTCTCTTTCACACTGGGTGAAGTGCACATCAAGCAGTGGGCGGGTGCAATAGCCAGCTTGCTATTGGCTATTGCAATTTGAAATGGGCAATAGCAGGCTGGCTACTGCATCAGGCCCACTACCTGCTGTATTTACATCCAGCTGCCGTCTGCGGAAGCTTGGCACTGGCAGTTGTCATTCCTCGCTGAAGCTATTCAAGCGCCATGTGCTTACAATACAATATTTTTTTTCAATTATTATAAAAGGAGGGAAAAAAGTCATTTTTGGTTTCAGCCTGACAAATCCTGGTGCGGGAGGTGTGTTGCAGTGCCATTCATTTCAATGGCACCACAAACGTGCCTCCCACCCCCAGTGTTATCACCCGCTCTGGAACGCACGGTACTGCAATGCCATTCGTTCCAGTGTAGTGTGATTTCAAAAAATTTGTTTGTAACACTGCATATGTGTATTTTATTTTAAATTAAGGGTGGTATTTTTTGTTTAATTTTTTTTAATCCGATTTTATCGTAAACAAAATCAGCCAACTAATCGATTATGAAAATAATCATTCATTGCAGCTCTACATTACAGTGTAAGCAGCATACAGTCAGTAGATAATTTTAATAAATGCATAAAATATATAGTCTCGCTGAACTTTCTGTCAACCTACAGCAGGGATAGGCAACCTCAGCACTCCAGCTATGCCAAAGTTACAAATCCCATCATGCCACTGCTTCTGGGAGTCATGCCTTTGACTGCCAGTCTTGCATAGTCTCATGGGACTAGTTGTTTCCAGAACAGCTAGAATGCCGAGGTTGCCTACCCCTGACCTACAGTACTCCCCTACTACTTGACTGTGTGCTGCTTACATTTGCAGTAGTGTCTTCACTAACCTCATACTGGAATCCGTATATTTTATATACTACACTATCGTTTTAAATAGTTTAGAGTATAAAAGTGGTTTACTAAATAAAGTTGGTTATTAAATGATAGATTGTTTAAAGGGATACTCATTAATATATAAAGTATCATTTTGCATTCAGGTAAAGCATTTATTCTTTAGTGTTTTCTGAAGCCGATATCCTCTTGCTTTTTAAACATTAGCATATTTAGCATAGAGGCCTGTGGGAGCATGTTTAGATGATTGCATTCTAAAGTGGGAGGTGTACTGAGCTCTGGGCTTGGCTGAAAACGAGAGGAGGTCTAACTCTGGATGTGATATTTCCATTGCAGGCTAAAGCAACTGAGAGACGAGCCGTACACTCAGGAAGAAGCAGAAAGAGCAGCGGGCATGGGCTCCTACATATCACCAAAACCAGTCCAGGTTCAGACACAGGAGGTAGCAATGGAATGATTACCCCTTACTTTGGAATTTCATAGACCCTGTGGACAGAAACTGAATGGCTTACCTTCTGTCTTCTGGTCGGAAACCATGCGAATGTGGAACTTGCAGTTTCTAACAGTAACACCTTTTTGATTTATGCATATCATTTGTCTAGTCAAAACACTTTGGTGTACTGCAGAGAGGCTGATCTATTAAATATTTCCTTCATCATTAAATTTGTGTTCATGTTGGCCCATTTCTGTGTCCTGGGACAAGCATGTAGCAAATTAAATGAGTTCCTTATCTTAATACTATTTCCAGGTCGGTGACTCAAAACCAACACACCAGCATGACGATGTTTTAAACATTTTTTTTTTTTATTGATAGTTGTTTTCAGCAGAGCACATTGAGATTTGAAAATAACAGTCCCATGACTAAAATAAAGATCTTATCCTTAAACGCTGTGAGCTTACAATTTTTAAGCCATTGGATGGGCCTGAGAGAAGTAAACTGAAAAGCAGTCTTAACACATACTCTTGGTAAAGGGTTCCTTAACTGCTTGAAGTGAAATTTGTGTGAATGACTACAAAACTGGGTCATTTGTGATATCAGTAAAGTGTCTGTCAACTCTTGTTGTACTAAACTGTACATTATGTGACAAAAGAATATATACCTGAATAAATGACAAGCAGAGTCATATTCAAACTGTCTGTGTTGTTTGCCTAGTGCGTGACAAGGGGACTTCATGGATCCAGATTCTTCAGTTAGTCTGCAAGTCACAACACTGCTGTGAGCTGTGGATATCTCTTGTGTTTGGGTTATATAACCAAATGACCTATTCTTTGTATGGTTGGAAGTGAATATGCAGCTTGCTCAGGCATCCATAAACACGTCCGCTTGTCAGTCTCAATTATGTCTCTTCTCTCATCTTGCACGGATGCACAAATGTCTCTGTAGCATTTAACCTCCACACTGCCGTCCCACTGAAGTAAGGAACTGACATTTTTTTAATTTATTTTTTAATCATATGAAGTGAATATATTCGAGTAGTACCCTTATAAGAAAATATATTCAAGATATTGGTATACAACCATTTATTTGTTACCACACAAGGAAAAACAAGTGAGTGTTAACAAAACAATTCTGATAAAGACTAGTGATGCTAATAGAAGAGTCTTCCAAAATCACCCATTTATTTTAAACCAATACATCATATGTTAGGGACAAATGAGAAACATTCCAGTAAGTATGTCTAAGTCAATCTTTATACAGTGATATAATGGAAGCTACTTATAGAAGAGAAAATATGACGTACATTAACAACCAAGTATGAGGTCTCTAGATCCTCCTTGTGAAGCATTGTGGGTGGTTATGGTTATAATGATTACACATTAATAAGAACATAAAGTGCTTAGTTGTATTCACATACTACAACAAATAATTCCTCTTTTCCCTGTATATGGACATTATGAGCCATGTTTAATTTAGTTGGCCACATCTATTTTTCCTCTTGTTTGCCAGTTCAGATCATACACATTTTTACTGTTAACAGGTCACTTGGATAACTTCCAATATGCATACATAAATATTTTAACCAATTTGTTCTCCAGCATTTACATTTTGTAAACAAGAATACACAGCTTATATCTGTCTCTTAAACTCTGTATAATATTCTGAAAAACACTAGGATGATTCTTTTTGGACATGAGGCATTTGTTTGTACTGGGCTATCAGGGATCATGTTTTGTTATCCATAACAATGAAAGCTGTGGGAATTTAGCTCTTATACATTCTCCGTCCTCCATATACATTCTTTTTAGCACATTACCTCTTTCATGTGGCACTTTCTTGATCTTCCTCACTAAATCTAGAAAGATATGAATCTATAGCTATGCTCTATTTACATATATTGTTGACCTGTCTGCCTGGGGTAGCACCCAGTACTTTCCTCTCCCCATCTTGCAATGGTCTCATCTATGTCCTTGTGAAGCATGAAAGCTGGACTCTTGCATCATCTGGCGGACACTGTAGTAGGATAGTCCGAGACCCATGAGGGCGAGAAGAAACGCCAAATGATTCACTAATCTGTCTTTGGGCTCTGATGCCACTTCTCCAGATACCTGTAGCTGGAATAAATATAATGCAGACCTGTTAAGACCTATATTACATTGTATGCATGTTAAAACCTATTTACATTGCTCTGTGCTCAAATACTCAATACAAAAAAAGTCTCATGAGACACATTCCTCAATAATGTATTAATCAGCTGTAGTTGATGTAGCATTAACATGCTTTATTCATAAAACCTCATTGCATGTAGACCTGCTTATTGGAGCCATAATGAACATTGTTTTAATAAAAACAAACACACATACAACTGTGATACAACCAGCCACACTTGCATATGTAAGTGTACCTGCAGTAGTCGGAAATACCCAGGTGTGAGCCGTCCAAGGCGAATAATCATTGTGCATACAGCCTCATACAATGGATTTCCAGCCAAATACGAAAGGGGTATACAAGCTGCAGAAGAATATATCATTTTACAAACGCAGTATTTTTCCGTATACATCTTAAATCTGTGGCTTTCATGGGTGGACATTGATATACAATATATTGTGCTATATTGTATAGCACAAAGCAAAGATTTCATTAAAACTGAATTATCACTCAAGACACCATAAAACATTTAGATGTGCTACTTCTCTGGTCCTCCCAATGCTTCCCATAGAGAGCACTGAAAATGCCGTGTATTTTAAGTATTGCTTCTCATTGCTACGACTTGTCCGCCATTTTTTCTAAGCTGTTCCCTTGTTACCTTCTTTAAGTTCAGTCTTCTTTTTTTCCCCAGTAATAAATCATTGTTATATTCCTGTTTAGCAACCCAAAATGGAGTATATCACAGTTTCACCTTTTTTTTGTGGAGCCAGGTGCCGCCTCTGCTTTGTGCCTACAAAAGCTAAATGACGGGATATTGTAGCCTTGAACTGTTTATGTACTGCTTATAACCTCCCATCATTATAACAAGTTCAGCATGGCCCCTCCCAAAAAGAACAGCTGTCAGAAGAGATCAGACCAATGGGTTTTACAACACAGCCAGAGGGGAGAGCGGGGACAGAAGTGAATCTGGGTAAAACCGAGCAGAGAGGATGAAAGAGAAAGGACGGATTATTTACCAACAACGCTAATACTTCAGAATCAATTTATTATGCCCAAAAATGTGAATTGGTGTCATTACACAATAGGGATATTGTAATATAATTGAGGGGAAAACCTTGACACACGCAGCTACTGGGTATAAAAAGCTGTTTTTGATATATTACCAATAATGAGCTGACTAAAAATGTGGATTCTTCAAATAAACAGCGTGTCATTGAGGTCATTTAGACTCTGTCCTCACAAAGGACACAAAAGAAGTTCTGTATGAAGTCCCCATGTCAGCAAAATACAAAGTGATTATAAAACTAAAGCTGGCTTAAAGGAGAACTATGAGGTGAGTGCTTTTCACCTCACAGTTCTAGCCGACCTGTGACAATGAGGCTGTCACTCACGCAGCTGGGCGAATCCAGACATAATTGTCGGGATCTGCTTCAGCTGCGGCGACTCAGTATACCGCAAGCAGAAGCTTGCGATATACTGTGGCGTCTCAGTATACCGCGAGCTGTAGCTCACACTATACTGAGCTTAGGGTGATGGGAGGACGCTAGTTTGTGTCCTCCCGTTACCCTAAGGAGAACTATGGGGAAAAGCCTTAACCCCATAGTTCTCCTTTAAAAATGAAGAAACCACAAATGTTTATGCAGCCTAAGGAAAGAGATTCAAGCTCCAATCGTTCCTGTGCACATAAAATATTTAACGCTAACATCTGTTTGGTTGTTATTTGGAAAAAACACTTCCCACTTAGACTACTTTGTATCATATAAAGCAGAACAGGAGCTTGAAATCTGATGTATACCTAAACCTGGACAATAGACAGGTAACAGGCTAACCTTTGGGTACAAAATACTTCTAATTGGCTATATTTACCTAGTTTTGTAGTGATATCAGAACCTAATACACCCAGTGCACCTCTACAGATTTTCTTACTAAAACCAGTACATATGGAAGCTTCAGAAGGAATGCCAGAATTATTAAACTGTGCTTCCAAACTAGTTGGCAGATTTTCTTTCAGATTAAACCTGTCAAGTCAATTGTACCTACAACTATCTAGTGAGCCCTACCCTAAACAATAAAAACGATGTCTAGTCATGTAGACCCTCAAGTAACATAGTTATATCAGATCAGATACAACATCTAAGTGTATGTGGCCACTATAACCCTTAACTGTTGTGCATTGAAACCCTCTAGTGGTTAATATGAGAGGTTATTAAAGGTAAATCGTTGGACACTAACGGCATCTATGTACATGAACTAAAGCCAAGTAAAGGACTGATAGTGTTTAGTACTAGAACCTGCTTTCTCTAAATAATCAAATCCTCTCTGCTGGATGCACTCAGCACTGTAGTAATGCTGAAAATCTTTAATCATCCACTGCACGTCACTAATCTGCCACATCATCCTTAGCTATCAAGCAGTATAAGCCACTGACATGAGATTCAATCACTCATTTTCCATAGGTACATTTTATTGGGGAAAGAGAACTCCATGGCTATAGGTTTAGGCACAGCTTTTTAACTATCCAAATTGAACCCGTGACAAATTTGTGTTCGTTTTTGAAGCTGTGATGTTTGTTAATATGGGTGAGCTGATCTCCTAAACCTGACACCCACTTCAATGATTTGTTTTCTGTGCCCTGCTTTAAAGTACACGCATCATGAGGAAATAACGATTTCATCGCTGACCCTTTGTTGTGAAAGTGTCAGTTGCTTACCTCTTATGCTGATGCTTTGGCTTCATTGTGTTCTAGGTTCCTGACTCAGAACAAGTATACAGATAAGCAGTTCTGACTATTTTCTGATACTGAAGTTCTGAATGCTTGTTCTGGTTCTGTGACTCAGAAGTACTGCAGCCAGAGACAACCAGACAGCAAGAATCTTCAGAACAAAACCAGCATTGAAAAATGACATGTCTCCAGACAGGTGTACCTTAAGGTCATCAGGAATCAGTGGAAGATGTTCTGTAAAAATGCCTCCCTCCCATCAGCTATGATTTGCTGATGAGGAGGAAAGGCCACAGCTCATTATTTTAACTCGTCTACATATCAAAGGCATGGCTGGTCCAGAAATA